CACACACACACACACACACACACACACACACACACACACACACACACACACACACACACAGCAAATGAGATTTCAGTAAGCTTTATGAAATATTCATGTTTTGAGCAAAGAGAGGAAAGAATCCCCCCTCCCACTGCATCAAATTATCAATCTAAATGTAAAGTGGGTGGTATGGAGATCTTGATGAAAGATGCAGGAGTTTATGGAAATCCWAAACGAAGCATTACAAAAGGTAGAGCGCAACTTTTCTAACGAATGACAGTTTATTAGCTGAGTCAGGGAGGCAGATGTGTTCAGCAGATACTTTCAGCTTGATTGAATGATGTGACCCCCACATCCCACCCCTGCCAAACGTACACACACACAAACGCAAACGATGCATTACTTTATGAAAGTGATTTTTGATAACTAGTGGTGTATCAGTAATGATTTCATCTTTCAGCTTWTTGACAAGATGAGTCGAAGTGAGCTATAAAACAAGAGATTTAAAGAAAACAAACTAAAGATTTAAAGGCACAGTGTGTAGGATTTTGTCAATTATTTTAGCTGAAATTGAGATAAATGACAATAATAAAAAACACATGTCTAATCATTGCAGACAAAGACCTTGTTTTATTATTTTTATCTCTATAAAGAGCAGTTTATATCTCCATGGTCATGGGTCGCCACTACAGGCAGCCGCCATCTTGTCTACAAAGGCTCATGAAGGACAAACTGCGGTGGCGGCGTCACAAACGGTTTTAGTTGTAATACTATAAATGTAATATTTGTTGTCTGTCATTGTAGCTGGGATAATTTTACTTATTAAAGCTCATAATCTTACCACTTGAAACATCACTAGCCCTGAAGCTGCTGGTAGACATSGCGGTTGGAATTATCAAAGGTTTTTGACACCTGAGAGACACCGTAGCAACTCCTTTGCGTTTGGAAGCAGGGGTGGGGGGGGAGGACCAGGGAGGATGATTCAACCACTCAACCACTAGATGTCGCTGAAAACAACAAATCCTACACACTGTGCCTTTAAATTAGAGCTTCTAAAACATTGTGCACTTCCCACACACCATAGACTACTCAAAGGCAGATTTTTCCGTGTTCACCACAGTCCAAGGACTTTGAGCTCAAAAGAGAAGCGCAAACAAGACGGGCTGAGAACCTGGAGTCGATGTGTTCAGTTTTGACACCAGAACGTGAATAAAACAATCTAACTTTCCCCAGATGATTTTATACTTGGCAGAAGATAAAGACATTTAATTTAGTTAACAGAGGCGGCTGTGGCTGAGTGGTTAGGGGAGTCGTTCTCCAACGTGAAAGTTGGCAGTTCAATTCCCCTGCTATTCAGTCCCATGTTGAAGTGTCCCTGGGCAAGACACTGAACCCCCCCACTGCCTCTGTGTGTACCATCAGTGCATGAATGTTATCTAAAGCGCTGACTAGTCGCTCTACAGTAGAATGGTTTATCTAGATCAGTGTTTCCCAACCCTGGTCCTCAAGAGGTTTCCCTGCTTTAACACACCTGATTCAGATGATTGCAGTTCAACAAAAGCCTGCTAATCAGTAATCAAYTGAAATCAGCTGTGTTGAAGCAGGGAACCATCCAAAACATGCAGGACAGTGAGCCTTGAGGTCCAGGGTTGAAAAACACTGATCTAGATTAGTTTTGCAGAGAGAGAAAAAGCTGTGTGGATATATATGTGGAATGGGTAAAGAGGACACAGATTGTAAAGTGCTTTGAGTGGACAGAAAGGTGTTGAAGTCCATTTAACAGTTAAAAAATTTGTAACTGAATCCATGTTTTTTTTTAATACAGCTGCATTAAAATTAGCATATGAAAAGACAAATATACAGATCCAGACTTGTATTAATTGGGGGGAAAAGTGCAAACAAGTGACTTAAGTTATAAACCAATAGAATGTTTAAACATTGTAGCAGTGTTATCCTAGAAGCAGGGGCGGAGCCAGATGGTGGCCCACCCCTGGTACCTGATGTGCCACCCCCAAATTAAGTGGGTGGGAATTTCAGATTTTGCTTTTGGATTTAGATTTTGTTAAACTGTTATGACACTGCTGTACTATATACATTTTCAGCTATATGTTCAAAAATGTTAGCCTTATAGTCCTTTTGTAAAATTAGCATTAGTGGTTAGCCGAATTTAGGATTAGCATCAATAATGTGATCATTCTTAGCTACTCCAAAACACATTTAATCTTAAATATTAAAATAGCTGAATTATAGCATTTTAAAGTTAGCTGTGGTGGCCATCTTGAARWTTTGATTRGCATTTAATATTTGGTAAAGATTGTTTTCGGCTACTTCTACACTTCAGCTTTGTAYGTCTGAAAATGGCTGAGTTGTGRTGAGCTAGCATTTTTATTTWTTWTTTTATCATTGAACACAGAATTTCAGCTCTGTCTTAAAACAGCTRAATTAAATTMATTTGGAATTAGTGGCGGTGCCCATCTTCAATTTTCCAATCCAGAGTGCTTTTCTTTATTTGTATGTGCCYTGCTAAAAACACCWTGGCCACCCCTGTRCTACCCCCGCAAAGAAATTTAGCTCCACCCCTGCCTAGAGGCGGAGTAATTAAATACAAATGTAAATGATATAGTTCCTACATTCTGACAGCTTCTGCAGGTTTTAACAAGGCGAAGGCCACTGCAACTGTTCTGTGTGTCTGAATAAGACCTGCTCCTCAGTGGCTCTGCCATTACAGACACACAACTAATCATGTGCAGCCATAAAGGTCGCCCCTCCCTTTTTAGCTGCTGGTAAAAAATTTGCTGCTGACAAATTCAAAGGGGACTGTAAGCAGGCGGAGACATGCAGCTGTGTGCACTGTCCCCCTCCTTTTTGGAGTTTTATTCTCTGGAACAATAAGYAGAGATGTTACCTCGCTTGAGCAAAATGTCTCGCTCTGTGACTCGGCACAGATTAACGAAGCGTGGATAAAGMTTCATTTGTGCTTTTTGTTTCTGTCAGAACAAGGTCAGTGTGTAGAGATGCAGCCTCGCTTTTTTTTCCACACAAAACAGAAGTGAGATGGTTTTGAATGACAAAGGCATGACTGAATATAACGCAGAGCTGTGGTTCCTCAGTCTGTAGGCCTACGTGGTCGTCTCCTGAGGAAAATCGAGGCCCTGAAAGCAGAGCAGAGCGGTTCCGAAGCCTCTGATGATGAGTTTCTGCGTCCAATCAGAGAGCTGATGAAGGATCCAGTCATCGCTGCAGGTTGGTTCAAGTTTAAAAAAAAAAAAACGTCTCCAGAGCCTGCCTCAGATGCAGATGCATTCATCATCTGAGTATGAAAGGTGTGTGTTTGTGTTCCACAGATGGATATTCCTATGAGCGAGTCTCTATAGAGCTGGATCCGAGGTAARAACAAAACCAGCTCCATGACGAACCTGCCCCTTCACACCACACTCCTCACCCCCAACAGATCCCTGAAGACGGCCAGAACCTGATGGAAGTCCAGCCAGTAAAACACAGCAGCTCATTTTAGATCAGCAGGTACTTCCACCCAAGAGCACTTATTCTGAGAAACTTCAGATTATCACTGACGTGTTTAGATCTTGAACGATTTGTGCCGAGTCACATCTCATAGAATCTGAATCAGTCTGGTCTAAGTAATTTACATTTATTAGCCAGACATTTGTCATCATGTTAGATGTAAACACAAAATAGTGGATAATTTAAATAGGCCTTTAGTAAAATGTAATTTACAAGTAATTCAGCACAGTTTTGCTGTTAAACCCTTATTTGGTCTGATTTGATTGACATCGGTTGATTTAGGGTTATGTAAGAATTTTATCAAATGCTGCCGAATATTAAAGCCAGTCTCAATTACTAAAAAATCTCTTAACTCATTGAACAAATTGGAAGGAAACTTTCAGGAAATGATCATTAGAGACAGATTATATCTTTAACAGATTACCTTTTTAAGAGTTGACCTAATTCCAGATGGCTGGCACAGAAAACAGACTTTAAAACTAAAGAGCTATAATCACTTTTGTTTTTTTTTAGCTAATATTTGGTGTAGTTGTAGCTGAATCATTCACATCACATACAGAATGTGAAATCTTGCAATATTTAGTTTGAGCTTATTTTTAGAGTTTGTCTTCAACTCATTTTCCTAAAAATAAAGATGTTGGTTAGAGCTTAGTTTATTTAAATGCGGCAGCAGAGAAGACAGCAGGTTGTTTTTACTTTGCTTCTTGTACAGTTTTATGGTAAAACGAACAGAGTTAAAACTAGTTGAAAGATGTTCAACATGAAGTTCATTCAAATACAGAACTAGTCTGGATTATGCCATTTGGTTTTCAAAAATACCTTTTAAAAAATAGTTTATCCTCATCAGCAATGTAACAAAAGCTAAACGAAACAGATTTTTCTCAGTGGGTCTTTATTTTGCTCTCCCATGATAATGGCCATAATGTTCAATTACAGTATCACAGCTAGAAAGCTCACAATACTGAAAACATGGCAACAATTGCATTTAACGTAGATCATAAAATAATCAAGCGGATGGCACTGAGCCCCTGAACATCTGCTTTTGTTACTCTGGAATATAAACTGCAATCGTAGCATGCACTGAAATCTCAATATTACTGAGAATCATAAAATGTCTTAGCTGTGCAAAAATAACTATATAAAATATATTGCTTTTACAATAGACCAAGCCATTGGCACTGTGAATAAATTAACTAGACGGCAACAACAAGCAGATAAAGAAATTAACGGTTATTTTTATATCATGTACAAATATGTTTAACACCATTTCAACATTGTGCCTTAAACTCAAAATACACAAGTCAGTACACTTAACAGACCTTCACTGGAAAAGAAGTACATATTTATAGAATATACACATGAGGATCTAAAACGTCCTTCATAAATCACAGGAATGACCATCCCTTCCACTCAAACTTTCACTCGGACCCCTTCACTTTCAGCACCAATGCTGTAGGAAATTTAACTTTAAACTGATAAATTAAGCAGCATGGATGGGTTTGAACTCTTCTACGCATGAACTGCTTTCATTAATGGAAAACAAAATGTACAACAGTGTTCAAACAGTGAAGGGGTCTGAATTTCTCCACGTGCAGCACCATAAAACACAGTTCAAACTCTTCTGTAATGACTTTACACTAAAACGACGTGTTAAGCACTCACATGACCTAACTGCGTGTAAAGTGCTCGCCGTCGTCGTGTAGTTGACCGGGTTTGACAGCAGAGCTCCATCAGTGCAAACGTTTCCAGCTTGGCTGAACGACTGCGGACATGTTGTCGTGTAACAGAAGCTGCGGCAGATCGGSACGAGTAAAATCTGGACTAGTGTGCTTAGTGTTTGTGAATACAAACAGCTCACTACTTTACTTCTTACAAGGCTTCAAAGTGAGACTGGAATGAGTTTGGGGCCAGTTTTTACAAAAGAAAATTAAATCTCACTTTTTTTTTTGCTAGAGACTGTGCGTTGTGGACGGGACGAGAGATTAAACATCTCTACACATTCGACTCTATAAAGGATCGCTTTGGTTTCATTGAAGCTACGTGAATGGCAGGATTATCTCGGACCAGGCCAGGYGGCTTGGACTTGCCATCGATAAAAGTGTGCGACATGGCCAGCGCCGGCTTGGACTCTTTGTAACAGTTGGCCGACTGGCAGAACTTTTCTGCAAGTTCCTTGGCATGCATGCCATTGTGTAAGCTGTTCACTGCCATGCCACCCTGCGGCAGTGGAGGTTTGTGCTGGTCCTGGTAAGCGCTGGCTGATTTGCCGTCCATTGGCTGGAGGCCCATCGCTGACACGTTGTGGCACACCAAGCCGTCGGAGGAGTGGCTCAGCCAGCTGCGACTAGCAGACTGAAGGCTTGGATGCTGCTGCTGAATCTGCTGCTGAAAGCGGGCTGTCTTGTCAATGATGCCCATGAAAGGTCTGGGTTTGTACTCGGCAGCGGAGCTGGCCTGCTGGCTGTGCTTGGTTTTGTCAGGGATCTTGGAGCGGACGTCAGGTCCCAGCTTGCCGCTGTCTGATAAGCTGCTGCTGGACGCCAGGCTGCTGGTGGAACTGGACACACGCATGCTGCTGACGCTTCCCCCCTGAGATCCTGCTGCACCGCACAGACCCTCGTTTCCTGGGTCGGCATGGTTCCCCTGGTGTCCTGGACCGGAGCAGGCCAGTCCGTCCAGGGAAGAAGCAGAGTGGGAGGACAGCCTGTCCTGGCCCAGACCTTTGGAGGTGCTGCAGGACAGGAAGCTCTCACCGTCACAACTCGGACTCATGGAGGTGGACGCAGCTGCCAGTAACATGCGTTTCTCATACATGGGCTCCTCAGCTGGGGGAGGCAGGGGGCTGATGTCGATACCCGGGCCCGGTTTCAGTGCGCTGGACATGTGTCGGCTCGGTAGAGGGCTGGAGGGTGCGTACTGACATTTGGCCCCAGCAGTGCGGCCTCCCACTGCTCCACCTGCAGCCTGCATGGAGCTCATGTGCTGATTAGTTTTTACTATCTGGGCCTGCTTGGTGGGTTGCAGGACCAGAACCTGTTGGGCCAGTGCCTCCCGGTGCTCTCGGGGGTATCTGTGAGGGGGGAGTCTGCTCGGACCCGGTGGTGAGCTGGGGGTCAGATTTGGATGTCCCAGGCCGTTGTTGACAGCTGTGGAATCAGCAGGTGAGAATCTGTTGAAGGGGTAGCTGTTCTGGGACCAGCAGGCTTCACCTGTCCTGTCAGGCTTTGGCTCCTCCTCCTCTTCCTCCTCTAAAATGCCTCTTTGACCATCGAGGCTTCTTGCCAGGCTGTGCTGTGAGGGCTCGTCCTGCACCTCCTCCTGCTCCTGGTCGGACTCGTGGTCCCCCGATGCCTGACTGGAAGCACCTGCAGCCCCAAAGCTTCCTTTGGTCTGAGTTCTCTGCATCTGCTTACACTCCTCCTCGACCCGAGCGAGCAGCCGACGGATCTCTCGGTTGTTGGGACAGAGCTTGGCTGCTTCATGTAGGTCAGCCAGCGCCGCTGTGAACTGTCTGCGAGAGGAGAGACGTTGTTACCAGCTGCACAGAAAAAAAAAACKAAAGCTGCTGTGGAGGGACTGAATACTTTACCTGCTGCTTCTTTTAGCTCTGGCTCGAGCGTAGTACGCCTCATAGGATTTAGGTTTCAGCTCCAGTGCTTTTGATGCAAATTCTTCAGCCATCCCAAAATCCTTAAAAAAAGGGCAAATTTTCAACTTACAACGATTACACAACAAAACGGAAGCATTTAAGTATACACCAAGTTTTAGCTTAAATTTTCTTTACAAATTTGTTGCTTTATTTGCTTTGTATTAAACTGTATTTTTCACATAAAATAAGTGAGATCAACATTAAAACATTTTACAGGTTCAGAGATAAACAGCAGGTAAAAATGCTGCTGACCGCCTCATGCAGCCTGTTTATCTCATCTGCAACAACTGTATAAACAGCTGGCACACCACACAAGTCTTCCTGTAGGACTATGACTTACAAATATCTCAAATACATTAAATTGTCTTTATGCTACATTAAAAAAAATCCTTTTGTCAAGTAAGATGTCTTTTTTTAACTTTAGCAGAAATGTGAGTAAAACAACTTCTTTAAAACATTGACAGAAAACTGTCTGGGGAGGAGAGCTGTGGGTTTGAGAGACTTACGTTTGTTTTTCTGCGACAGCGAGAGAGATTGAGGTACAGCGAGACCCTCAGGTCTTTAAATGCCTTCAGGTCGTCGCCGTATCCTTCTCGGGGAAACTTCCTCAGGGCATACTGGTACCTCTGTGCTGCCTCTTTCATCTTGCCTTTCTGAAGGACATAAAGAGGGGCAGACATGCAGTGAGGAAGAGGAACAGATCAAGGAATTCTCCAGATATTCCCTCCAGTATCTGTTTCCTGGCTCTGCTCCTTCCCTCCCATCAATTATACGTTCAGCTCAGCACACCAACATGTCACATCTGACAGCTTTGTCCTTTCTGCTGCAAAACTCAATCTGTTAAATGTCAAACATCGATCATTGCTCCTTTGGTAAGTGGTGTGAAACATGCACTGCTTTATTCAACTAGATTAGACATTTGTGTGTCCCCCACAGCTCCATTGATGTTACTTTTGTCTGTTTTTAAACAACAGGAATCAGGAAATAGACTCAATGCAGAAACCTGCACTTTACAGTTGACTGCATTTTACCTTATAAAGCAGATTTCCCTCTTCCATCAGCTTCTGCAGAAGAATAATGAGGATATCAGGCTTGGAAGTAGCCATGGCCCAGGCAGCATTCCCTGTTGACACAAAAGGAATATATTATGTTGCCGTTTTTGTTGCAAACCCAGCGTCTGCTTATTCTCTTGAAATTGGTACAAGGTAAAGTTACCTAAAGATTGTACCTGATCGATCGTAAGGAGACGTTCTGTAGCCTTTAGTTTATTGAGGGCAGTTAGAGGGAGAAGTTAGGAGGGGGAGAGAAGAGAGGTCATGCAACAGCAGGAGATGTCATTTGTAGCGAGAGGGAAAACCAGTCCCTAACTGCAGCGTGACAACATACAATTATGCGTCTCTCAGCCTGAAACAGTCTCGAACACGCAGAGGGGAAGACATGGAGAGAGGAAAATGTAAACGTTCAGTCTGTTATCACCGGTGCTCTGAGAGAGAGCGCTGCAGATAAGCTGCAGAACCAGGTAACGCTGGAAACGCCACCTGGGTGATGAGTTCTACTGAAATTAGTCGAGCAGCAAATGAGGAAGAAAAGGTCCTGGGATACCACTAAAACATGAACGAACACACACACGCTGAWGATCAGGAGAGAGAAAAGCAGAAATGGAAACTGTTTTCCCACATTCCACAAAGTTTCTGAGATTGCTTTTAGAATCATGAGATACTGAGGAAAAAAACTGTTTTTCTTCATTTCAGGACATAGAAAGGAATCAGCCACCACACAAAAATACACATCGAGTTCCTGCTGATAACAAAAGCACAAACTGCTCCAACTTTCTAATATATTTAACATGTAATCAATTACAAGAAGTGCTCTTACCCAGCTTGGCTCCTTTCTTCAGCAGAGTCACCACCACTGATGTGTTCCTACAACCGATGGCCCGGTCCAGAGGCCTCATCCCACTGTGGTCCACATGCTCAATCACTGCTCCTCGTTCCACCAAGTACTGGACCTACAGGAGACCAGGCGTCCAGGAACACAGATCCCAGAGTCAAGAGCTCGGCTAAAAACCTCATGTGCCCAATAAAGTCTTTGACATATTAAATGAAGCTGAATAAAGGCAACGATTTGTTTAAAGAAAAAGTTTGACCTACAATCTCTGCGTCTCCATAAAAGGCAGCGAGGTCCAGCGGAGTTCTTCCATTTTTGTCAGTGTGGTCGATAACCGCACCTTTCTCCACCAAGAACTGCACCACGTTCTTACGTCCTTTCAAACAGGCCCAGCTCAGGGGCATCAGTCCCTCCTTGTCCATCGAAGTTAAAGAAGCCCCTWTAGGTCAAACAGCACCACAGAAGGGTCATTTATTCAAATCAGGACATTAGCATTTGTGTTTGTCGTACGCGTGAGGAGCTGCCGTTCACCTTTAGACAGCAGAAACTCTACAGTACTCAGGTGACCCTCACAGGCAGCCACCATCAGCAGAGTTCTGCCCTGCTTGTCACTGATGTTGATGTCAACACCATGTTCCAACAACAGCTCTGCAATCTGAAAAATAATTAGATTTTATTAGTTTCTGAGAGGCAATGATGTTCTCATGCGTTCTAAATGTCATGTAAAATTAAATGTAYAAGTATCTTACCGTAAAATTACTTGGCATTCTACTTATTACCATTTTTTTAAACATGTAAGGAGCAGAAGTAAAATGCCATCTGAAAAATAATTACTCAAGTATATATAACCAACATTTCTACTACAGTACAGTTAAAGTGTTTGTACTTTATTTTACAAATCTGACATTTATCTTCTATTATTTCGTGGTTTGGAAGCTGCCACAGTTTAACAATGATTCAGCAGTTTGGTGAATCCAGTTCATCAGAACAAAGTTCTGCTCGGCGAGTCATACCTGCCAGTGCCCCTGTCTGACCGCACAGAACAGGGGGGACATCCCCCGCCGGTTCACCTGCTGCACCAACGTCCCCTGCTCCAGCAGGAAGCTGCACACCTCCATCTTCCCCCGACCAGCTGCAGCCGTCAAAGCTGGAGGAGGAGGAGACATGCAGCTGTTAGGACTTCTTTACAAACAGAACAGAGGTAGTCCAGCACTCGGCTCAGGAGGACAAACGGTGATTATGATTAGYCGACATGCAGCGGACAGGATCATGGTTGTAGTGCTGAGGTACAAACTGATTCTCATTCTTCACAAACAAGACGAGCAGTGCTGATTAAATTTAAACAGATGCTTCTTTCATTCAAGCTCAATAAGATACAGCCTCTTGKTCTCAATGTCTCAAAAAGAGATGAGAATTCAGTTATTTCATGCATCAGCAGATAAACAAAAACTCATCAAAATCAATTCTATGAGACACAAATCCCTGTTTGTACTYGTTTTTAAATTAACATTATTAAAATGATAATAAAAAATAAAAGCGAAGAGTATTACTATAAAGATATTATAATTACAAAGTTGGATGCTTACAATCAGTCAACAGATGGACTGGTTTTAAATGAGCGCCGGTTCTCCAAACAGAGTGAGTTCCACCGCTAGAATGGGATCAGCTCTGCTCTCACATTCACCTCAGAGACTAAAAGGTGCCGCTGAGCCTCCATGTCTAACTGACATCATCCATCTGGATGTACAGCCATCGCAGCCAAAAACAACCCCGCCCGCCATCTGCTTCAAATGTGGATTTCCTCACAGTTAAATCAGCAGAACAATGACTCCGAACAGCTAAACTTAGACTGGGCTTCAGGGAGCCATATTAGCAACACGTTGGACGCTAGTTTACAAAAAAAAAATACAAGACAATTTATATATTTATGACTCATGGCTGTTTCTGCGTTAACTTATTCACATATTTTCACTTCTCCTGGACACAATCAGAACATTTCTGTAAATATTCACAGTAATCTCAGCAGCATTCCTGATTTTTAAAGGAGTTTGTTTCTCTTGTGTGATCATTTATGGTTTGCAACAACAGGAAGGTCATGACCTCACATTCTGGCTTTGCAAATTAAAAAAACAGCTTTTTGTCCCTGGGAAGTAAGGACTGTTGATGATACAAGAAGCAATGTTATGTATTAAACTTGCTCAGGTTCTCTTCCCATGTTCAGAAATTGATGGAGAATTTAATTAGGTTTGATTATTAAATGGGCAAAAACTTAATTACAAAGATTTACACAGTGCAGAGCCACTCAAAACTTTAAAAAGGAAAAAAAGACGTTTTTCAAAAGCAGCAGATAAATTAATTTCATAGCCTCAACTCCATTTTAATGGATATATTTTAACTTCCAATGTGGGAGAAAAGCCATCCATCACTAGTGCCAATATCCAGCAGTCACTGTGTTCATCACAGGGTCACAGAGAGACAAATGAGGCAAACAACCATTTTCTCACTCACACCTTGGGATGATTTACAGCTACAGATKAACCTAACATTCATATTTCTGTAGGAGGCAACCGTAACACCCAGAGAAAACTCACGCACGAATGGAGAGAACATGCAAACACCACCAGAAACCCCCCCAGGCCAGGAGGGACTTAACTTTCTCTCTGAGATGCAGCAGCGCTACCAGCTATTTTTAACAGAAAATATAAAAGTACTCTTCATGGGAACATTTTTTCCAAAGCCCCATTATACGGCATCTCACAAAAGTGAGTACCCCCTTTATATTATTGTGTACGTGTCATTATGTTTTCATGGGACAACACTGAAAATATGACTCTTTGATACACTGTAGTYAGTATACAGTTTATATAATGGCATAAACTTGCCATCACTTCAAAATAACTCACAGTCATTACTGTGTAAACCACTGGCAACAAAAGTGAGGGAAGTACTCACTTTTGTGAGATACTGCATATTGTATCTATTATTTCTTTGAGTTCCTGCTCTGTCAGAATATGATAATTACAAAAAAAAAGTCATTAAAATGGGAGACAGTGTTCCACGTGAAGTTAGTCACAGACACAGAAGCTGTCGAAAAGCTCAAACTGATACTTTTACTTTTTAGCATTTGTAACACTTAAAAAAACCTGCCATTAGTGTTTTATAACGCAGCTCTAAAAATCTCATTGAACTTTTTGCAAATGTTATACAAAGAACTTAACTACATCCAACACACTTGGAAATAAAACCAAATCCAAATGTTATAAATAAAGTAACTGCAGGGTGCCAACAATAACACAGAAGAACATGATGCAGAAGTATATTACACGGTGTTCACTTCTCAAAAGACTTCTCTTTCACCACAATTGCTTTTTGCCTTGAACAAGTTTTGCAGCAACTCGGATGGTTGTATGCCGTTAAATTACCTTTTCTTTGCAGAACAGGGAAGCGTTCTGCATTGCTAAAAAGAGGATTCTGAAAGATGAAGCTGGCGCAGATGTACAACCCAGTCTGTCTCTATTTAAACACAGAACACAGCGGGCATATTTGCATAAATGCGCAATATACCATTGAATTTTGATTATGCCAGGAAGTCTCACGGGTTGCTATCCGAGAGCAGATTCAGGAACAGAAATGAATGACTGGTTTTGATGGGGATATTTCAGAAAATGCTTTTAATTTCTGAGCCTCAGAGCACCAGCATCAAGTTATTAAACCTGCAGCTGAAAGGCAGAAGAGGAKCTTGAGGTGAAACTAATTTATTACAGAGCTGGCTGTTAATCATCTTTTGGTGATTGCATCTGTTCCCAATAAGCTGAACTCCCTTTGCTCTCTCATCCCAACTCCTCCACAGGCAGGAACACAGAGGACCTCCGAATCATTTTATTTCTCCTGAGAAACTCCTCCAGCGGGATCCAGTGGATCCACGTCACCATTTAAACTTTTCTCATCTATTCGCACTGAATACAGATGAGCCTGTATGTCTGCCAGGTGAGTAAAAACATGTACAAGTGGTCAGGCAAAAAAAAAAAAAAAAAAAAAAAAACAGCCATGCATCCTCCTCAAGTCAGGCTCAGAAAGTTAAGATATTCGTTTTCCCCCAGTTGTAAGCAAAGCAGCAACTGGAAATGAATGAATCATTTAAATATCCTCCCCATGTGTGCAAAAAGCAAAAATCCATTAAATACACCTGCAATAAGAGTGGAAATAAAATCCCTGCACCACATTTYAGACTATAATTTAGCACTTAATATATAAATACAAACAGCTGCAAAATTTACATGAAAAGTAACCAMAACTTTCTGCAAAAGCCCCAAGTTKAARTAGTTTATTCTGAACTTGWTCACTGAAATAAATCCCAGAAACTAACTCTTACATGAACATGTTTTAAACTGTGTTCTTTGCTCCAGGAGAGTTAAAAAAAGGTGATAAGTTTAGCAGAAGCACCAGGTAACCCCTGTGGACCACCTCTCAGCTCACAGGCTGACCCATATATTCCTGCAGCACAGAACTCTGTGGTGAATCTCCCTTACTTACAAACGAAAAAGGACACACTATTATCACAGCTGTTATTTTAATCTATTTAAGTGTCTTTAAATTCTAACAATATTCAAGCCTCGTTTTAGAAAAAACTCAAACATGAACAGCTGTTTTATCACTTAACTCTTAAAGCAGAAATTTGTGCTGAACGTGAGAGACAACATTTAAAAGCACTTTACACTAAAAACTGCAGCTCTGACTTCATGCGTCAGCAACTCTTTTAGTAAACTATAAATACTTTTATGGTCTTGTTCATTACATGCAACCGTCTGATGCTAATCCATCTTATTTAGAGTTTGAAATGACAGTAAAGAAAGAAGAAATGACCACAATCTGTTATATTTTTCAAATGATTGATGTAGTTCACTGAAATTTCTGTCACGTATTAGCCCTCTTACATCAGTTAGCTGCATGTGGTTTTCACTTTATGTTGCTGCCCGCTCCTTTGCAGCATTATTAAAAATGAAATGCACCTTCTCAGATAAGAAAAAGTTTAACAACTAAAAGGTTAAATTTGATATATAAACAACTCGTAAGATAAGAAGTCAAAGAAATATGCTTGTAATATAATCCAGTGACCTGGATCTCAACAACAAGATAAAGTATTATGCTGAGCAGGAAGTACAACACATGAGAAATTAGAAYGTGCATTTAGGCCGAGACGATCTCAAGAGAAGGTGTGACTGAAGAGCAAAAGGGACAAAACCTTCCACTGCAGCGTTCAATTAGAGCAGCTGGGACATGAATGCTAAAACAGCAGGTTCTAATACAAAAGAGCCATACGATGCTAAAAGATTGATGAGAACATACCTGTCTCGCCCCAMAGAGTGTCATGACTATCAATTTGCACAGCATGCTCATTTTTCAACGCCAGCAGGTCCTTCACAACCTGCCAGAAAAAAGAGAAACTTAGATTAATCACCTACAGTCTGAGTAAAAGACATCAAACAAAGCTTCAAGAGGATATGCAAAAATCTGACGCAGAMGACAGAAAAAACAAGAATTTTAGAAAATTATTAAAACTGACATTTAAAGCCTGAGATTATTCAGGTTAAATCCAGTGGGATTAATAGCCAAACATAGTTTTTATTGGATATGAGGGTTGACAGATTAGTTTGGTCCAGTTCTGAGGCAAGACTAAMTATAAACACTGGACTAAAAAAAGCATTCAGGTAATTATTGAATGGGTTCTAATTGCAGAACAACTTCAGAACCGATACACACAYGCTAACATGTAGCATCCATATTTACTTCTTTACGTGACATCACCTTTTCTTCTGTGCCTCAGAACTGCAGACAGTTCTTTCTCAAGTCTGACTGAGGTCTCATTTCACTGATAATGTGCACGACCACAAACATAAATCAATTAAAAATATTCATAAAACAATATTTATCTGAGTAGAGAATTATTTGATGTATGAGTATGTGTATGTC